TGGAGAGTTACTCTTAACTCGTTTCCATAATTATGTCCTTTTCCTTTCTACTTTTATTATTATTATTATTATTATTATTAAATTTTGAATAGGGCAGTCCCACAGGCCTAGGGCCTTTTTACAGGGTATAACACTTGCTACTTCAGTACTTGTGCGTCGGTGGTAACGCGCGGATGTGCGAACATTACCTTCTGTTTTAATCTAGCCAGAGGTATTCCACTAGCCAACGAGTACAATGTCAAGTACATTCTATGCATACAATGTACTTGAAAAAGAGGTACAATGTACTTCGAAGTACATGTGTACAGAGAAACCTGTCTAAGACGACCGCTCCAGGGACCTTCAAAATCTGGTCTCTGTGACCAGGTGGTCTCCTTATCCAGGTTCATTTGACTGGCAATAGCATTCCTTGGTTCTGGTTACGGTAGTCCTCTTGGACAGGTGGTCGCCTTATCCTAGTGGTCGCCTTGACAGGTTTTGCTGTACATAATACTTGGAAAAAAAGGTTATACCGGTAATTATGATGAACCAGGCCTGAAACCAACAAAGGTGTCAGGTAGAACAATACACCTTGGAGCAGCGGAGCCAACACTATCTGGCATGTACATGTACATGTACATGCCTACCCACCAACCTTACTACAGTAGCTGGCACATATACGCACACACATACGCACACACACACACACACACACACACACACAAATACATACACACACACATACATACACACACACTCTCTCTCACGCAATCGAATATGACCACTGCACGATGAAAGCCCTGAATGGTGCTCCAAATCCTTTCAAAACACTTCTTTGCAGTTTATGCTGGTAGTGGTATGGATGATGACTGCATGTGTTGCGGCTCGTACAACGCATGGTGGTTTCCCTTGGGGGACGTTAAATTCCAGCGGAAATTAATTGCTCTAAAACAGACCAAACGTTGTACACGTGAGCCACGCAGCAGACTGATGGAAGCTAGAATTAGAAACGGAATTCGTTGTCGTGTAGTTAGCTTGCAAAGGACGGAACTCCTCTGACCTGAGTGCCATGGAAGCGGGGCCAACTGGGCCATGGACGCATCATTCAGCCGACACAGCCGCGTGACTGTACGCGTTCTGGTGAACTGCATCTTGCTTGTGCGATGCGCTGCCTCCGCCGTAAAGTGCTGTACCGAGCTTCCTAATCCCAGGCTCTCTGAGACTCTGTCCCCTGACACAACAATGATTTGTACAACCATGTACATGACTTACTTGTACTTTGTTCGGCGGATTGTTCAGAACAGCATAGCATGTAGCAGTGGCCAGGAATGACATGGTATTTTCTACCGTTCAGTATAGGAACAACATCCTGAGTGGCCGGCAGCGAACACAGGAAGTAGCAATTCTCATCTACACAAATTATGCCGGTGTGCTCGCATAGAGCGCGCGCGTGCACACACACACACACGCGCGCGCGCACACACACGCACAGCTCAAAGCGGATGAAGAATAGCTGCCCGGAACACACAGCTGAACCTCAGTATTCTTACGAGCACAGGCCTACGCTAGAGAAATACTGAGTAGCCTGCGCTGTGCATGGGTTTTCTAGAGCGGGCAGGCAAACAAGCGAGGCTGAAGTGCCAAGTACATTCTCCAATCTGGCACGGCTCCAAACCAAAACAACGCTTACAAGTGCCCTAGTTTTAATACGAGCCGACCACTAGCAATCAGCGTAGATCTACTCATCAACAAAAAGCTAAATTTGTTTACCAATAGTCGATGAAACCTGGTGGGACTGGTTGGTCGGTAGTCGGTCTGCGCGCTGTCACACTCTATACCGGTACATGTACTCCGTCGGAGGTGAGGAATTCGAACTTCGACTGTACCGCAGAGCTGCGACACACACACACACACACACACACACACACACACACACACACACACACACACACACACACACACACACACACACACACCTCATGGATCTGGACTGGCGTGGCGTGCGTTGTTGCTTCAAACTTGATCCTCACCTTCACTTTCCGAGCAGTTCTGGCTATCATGGTCGACCTCATTCTTCCTCTCCCGGATACTTTTCCACTTCCAGGAAGCCCTAGATTATGAAGATTGAGTAGGTAGAACTGAAGTTATAATCGAAGAAACGCGAAAAATGCATAATTTTGAAATATCCTAGGGCTCTAAAACTCATTGTTTGTGATTCGTTTGGAAACACCCCTAGGCTAGAGGTGACCCAGGCCTGCGTAGATCTACGCGACTGTGCTCCTCATGGCATGGGGTAGATTGTTTTGGGGTAAGTTCGTGTTTTCTCTCTTTGCCAACCACACGAAAAAGCTGCCCCTTTTGGGAGCTATTATACGTTTTATTTACATAATTATTATCAGATACGTTTTATTTATATAATTATTATCAGGACGCCGTATTTTCCGGAGTATAGTGCGCACTTTAGATGTGCTATTTTAGGCCCTAAATCGCAGGTGCGCACTATGCTCCGAATATGAAATGCATGTACATGTACTTCAATGAAGATTGAAGTGCGCACCCCCAATGAAGATTGGGGGTGCGCGTTATACAAAGGTGCGCATTATACTCCGGAAAATACGGTAAGTAAATTCTTTTTAGCTAGTTGCCTGCCAGACACTGACAGGGGTGGTGGTGTGCACACGCCTCTTGGCACGGGGAGTACAACTCGCTCGACTCGACTCCATGCTACTACTTACTTACTGTCTACTGACCTATACGCGTACCATGTATACTATTACTAGGCCTTTCCCCGACTATGCGATTGCTTTTTTTTTGACAAAATGCCCAAAAAATGAGTGTCAGCGATTGATTACAGAGGTTATTAGGTGGATCATCGAGCTGCTTTGGCATGCAAAAATCGCAGCGATGCACTAGCGACTCACTAGTAGGTGCCGGCATAATTACTGGCATACATGTAATTTGGTGGTTGAAAATTCGGAGCATAATTATTATTTGGCATCCTTTCGGAGGTAGGAGCATAACTACATGATTGTATCACAGTTCTAGTATGTAAGCTACACAATTGTGTACAATGCACCTGATCAGTGCTGGTGGTCTGCATGGTAAAGGGTTCGGAGTAGCCCTTTTCCAAAGATGCTCGCTAATTTTTTCGCAACTTTCCGTTGTTTTGGAAGAAATCGCAACTTTCTTCATTTTCACAAACAACTACTTCGCAACTTTTCCGCAAAGGTATGCAAAGAAGCGCGCTGAAGGATACCATCGACTGTGCAAGCTATGGCTCTAATAATTAAACAAATGAGGTATAGTTGATGTTTGGTCATGGTGGAAGGAGAGGTGGAGCTACGGGAGAGATGAGCTGATTATTCCCAGGGTGAGGGTGACATCGGTTGGACGAGTGTGACGATTACGGAGACAGTTGAACATAACAATTTTCAAAGGTAACTCAAAATAATTTGGCAATGAAAATTACAAAAGAGATCAACTAATGTTTAGAAGAAGTCATGTTTTCTCCTTTCCATGTTGATCTCTAGCATGCATGGTCATCTTGGTATGAGGATATTCATGTATTTTGTTGTACTTATGGCCACTTGCAAGTACGAAAAAGGCACAAATTTCCGAACTTTGAGGCTCCATAAGTACAACAAAGTGAATATGTATCCTCGCATGACAAAGCATAATAATTATGGGGATTTTGTGAGCATAATGCGAGAATCCATGAAAGCATAATTCCATGATCTCGCGAGCATAATCCGCCGGAGCCTACAGTCACTAGCGTCTGTATACATAGTGTGCTTATACATGTAATAAAGCTGTCTCCGCTGTATACTCGTACACGCACGTCCACAAGTGGTTCAGGAATTCCGCTGAGTTATCATTGTGACTTTTTCGCCTCACCTCCATGTGCGGTACAGTCATGTACTGGCGAGAGCAAGCCCTGCATGCACTAGACTGTCCCTGCGGGAATTTGCGGAAAAAACTCTCGAAAACTTGCGCAAGAAATTGCGGCAGAAAACAACAAAAAATGCGACGAAAAGTGCGGAACGATGCAGAACTTGCCAGGAATTCGCGGAATTATTTACAGAAAATTGCAGATTTGGGCCAAATCACGCAATTTGTTGCATCATAATATATCTACTCGGGAGTAGTACGAGTGCAAATAACCTACAGGATCATGGAAAGCACTACGTGAAAAGTGCAGAAAAAGTGAGATATAGTGCAGAAAACAACAAAAAACGCGGGAAGTCACGGATTTTGCTGAAAATCGCGGGTTTGGGCGAAAATCGCGAAATTTGTTGCATCCGTGGAATCGCGATTTCCTGGAGGGACAGACTAGAGTGCGGCGATACTTTAAATCAAAAGTTTGGATTTCTCTGGCCATAACTGTACTGTGTTTTTAGGATTGTCTTTTTTTATTCCTTTTTGCCTATTCTGCAGTTGCATGCGCGTGTGTGCTCCTCATTGGCTTCGCTGGTTCCTCTTTTCTTTTGTTCATTTGGCTTATACAAAGGCTATAGCCAAGCATACTTGGTGTGTTAACGCGAGCAAGCAGAATAATAATAAGAACTGTACTTCGAAGTATAGGGCTAGAAGTGATGACGTCAAAAACGGCCTGGGAGTAGTAAGTTGACATCAGATTTCTATTTTGGATCCACTAAGGTGTGACTTTGCTATTGCCTCAGTATGTGGGTGCATAGCAACCCACTCATGTCGTATGAAGGTGCGACTTTTACTTCGCCACCAGTTGTCACCCCGCCCCCACTAGCCAAATCAGTCAGTTTCACTGGCTACATCACCTTGCTGTGAGTAGGACCGCTTGAAAATGTGCTTGGATCCATACAAAAACTGGATGCAGGTGGATCCAGTTTTTGAATTTTTCAAATTGTTCCTATACCATTGCTATGCTGTGACGTAGCACTTTCAAGCCCTATTGTACACAAATACCATAACAATACTACACAGAGGACATTGCGCCTCAGTGCCAGTGGCCTCACACTACCACAGGCGAGATACAGCAGTGTTGATAAAAGTGTCCAGCATAATTATTACTAGGTACCAAAGAGCATAGAAAGCACATTCATCTGATAAGTATAAGAATTTACTCAGAAGAAGAAAAACAGGAGGGCAACCCTCATAATAATTATTATTACTATAGCATTCAAATAATAATCTTTATTTCACGATTACCCAAAGGCTGACAAAGAGCATGGAAAGAACATGGCTTTGAAATAATTACTCTACATGTATTCTCAGAGAAAAACAGAAGGGGGAGAACCTCCGCATTACCAGCATGGAAAGAACATGCATCTGAAATAGGAGTTCTCAGAGAAAAACAGAAGAGGAGAACCCCTGAATTATCAGCATGGAAAGAACATGCATCTGAAATAGGAATTCTCAGAGAAAAACAGAAGAGGAGAACCCCTGAATTCCCAGCATGGAAAGAACATGCATCTGAAAGAGGAGTTCTCATCGATCAGAGAAAAACAGAAGGAGGAGAACCTGTAGACAGTGTGAAGAGAGTCTGCAGTACATGTACATGTAGCAGTAGTTGTCAATGTCAACTGCATGCCTCTCACACACACAGCGAACACACACACAAGAGGAGAGGCCAAACTAAAACTAGGAGACTGAAAGCGCAGGAGAGAAGAAAATTAATCCTTATTGCAGTTGTGCAGTCACCTCCCCTTCTATCTTGCTGTACGGAAACTGTTTCACAAGACAATAGCTTTTTCGTATTGTGACTTCCGACCGCAGGCGAAGTCAACAATGCACGCACACACACGCACACACACACACACACACACACACACACACACACACACACACACACACACACACGCACGCACACACACACAAAGACAAACACACACACGCACACGCGGATACCACGCGCATATCAAGCAGCCCGCGCGACTGACAAGCACTCAGCAACCGGTCCGATACAACACATGCGGAGTAGTATCCGAGAGTCGGGCGAACATTCACCTCCAATCGTCACATAGCACATACAGAGTACATTGCGATGCGATGTTCCTACGCGGTGACCACATCAATTAGAGCTCCCTTGATGTCATCGATATAGTCCGGTGTCATGTCTTGACTCTGTTCGACCTGATGGTGGAGATAGTGAGGGACGACGGTTGCAGCGAATGTCAGTGTGTGAGTAGACGGGTCATTTCCCGACGGACACCACACGGGTTGCACACAGACACACGCATGCACAGACACATAGACACACAGATGCACGCACAGACACATGCACACAAATACACACAAGCACAGAAATCAGTCCGATGCGCGTGCACACACACGCACACACGCGGTCGCGGTTCATGTCTTCATGTGAACTCGCTTGTGCACATGCATACAACCACACATACAACACACACACACACACACACGCGCTCGCACACACACACACACACACACGCACACACACCCCTCCCTCCCCCCCCCCCCCCACACAGCAGTTAATCCCTGCGAATACAGAGTACACTTGAGCAGAGAGAGTTCGAAATGTTTCGAAAAAATGTTTCATTTCGTTTTGAAACATCCACACAAGCTTAGTAAATGGCAAGCTGCTTGATGCTTGTCTTACACGTTTCACCTCTGAACGTGTGACTTTACGCCCACTCACTTAAAAAAATGCGTTTCAATTTTCAGGATCATTTTACAGGTACCTAACACCAAGATTACATGAAAACCAGAGTGTGCAGCTCGGATGGGTTGATGTCACGGCGGAATTCCGTAATTACATCATTTTAGTGATGTAGTGCGTACAAGCAGGATTCAAGCAGGTCTCTTTCTGCACAACTGCAGCTCAGTTGTACGCACTACGCCATTTCCAGCCTCAGATCTGCGCCAAATATGATGTAATAAATCACGGAATTCCGCCGTGACAGACACCCATAGCAGAAAAGGCCCCAAGCTGCACACTCTGGTTTTCATGTATTCTTGCTAGCACCCCCCCCCCCCCACCAACATGCATGAAAATACACACACACCATTGGACCATTGGACGCCCATCGCCGGAGGCAATGATAGCGATGCTACAGCAGAAGCCATAGCAGCTCGTGCTGGGGTTGCACCATTCAACAGGTTGCAAGGCTGAAGAATTGACCGCCACTATTCAGCCTGGTCTACACCACACAGCTATAAAGTGGCTTTTTCTGGCCAGTGAATCCCTACACACACAATCCCTGCACATGCATACAACCACACATACAACACACACACACACACACACGCGCTCGCACACACACACACACACACACGCACACACACCCCTCCCTCCCCCCCCCCCACACACAGCAGTTAATCCCTGCGAATACAGAGTACACTTGAGCAGAGAGAGTTCGAAATGTTTCGAAAAAATGTTTCATTTCGTTTTGAAACATCCACACAAGCTTAGTAAATGGCAAGCTGCTTGATGCTTGTCTTACACGTTTCACCTCTGAACGTGTGACTTTACGCCCACTCACTTAAAAAAATGCGTTTCAATTTTCAGGATCATTTTACAGGTACCTAACACCAAGATTACATGAAAACCAGAGTGTGCAGCTCGGATGGGTTGATGTCACGGCGGAATTCCGTAATTACATCATTTTAGTGATGTAGTGCGTACAAGCAGGATTCAAGCAGGTCTCTTTCTGCACAACTGCAGCTCAGTTGTACGCACTACGCCATTTCCAGCCTCAGATCTGCGCCAAATATGATGTAATAAATCACGGAATTCCGCCGTGACAGACACCCATAGCAGAAAAGGCCCCAAGCTGCACACTCTGGTTTTCATGTATTCTTGCTAGCACCCCCCCCCCCCCCCCACCAACATGCATGAAAATACACACACACCATTGGACCATTGGACGCCCATCGCCGGAGGCAATGATAGCGATGCTACAGCAGAAGCCATAGCAGCTCGTGCTGGGGTTGCACCATTCAACAGGTTGCAAGGCTGAAGAATTGACCGCCACTATTCAGCCTGGTCTACACCACACAGCTATAAAGTGGCTTTTTCTGGCCAGTGAATCCCTACTTTTTGGTCTTTTTTCATTTTTTCATTTTTACACACACACACACACACACACACACACACACACACACACACACACACACACACACACATTGTCGTGTCACTTACGTCCTGTATAGAGTACTTCTGCGAGGCACGCTGCCGGGTCGCTATGGTAACCCCGCCGGCTCCACCGCCGTCAGCACTGGATGATTGTGTGTAGGATGCGACAAAGCCCATCTTGTCGGTTTCCTTCTTTTCTGCCCCGTCTGTCGTTGCTGTTGCCGCTGACGGTGCTGACGGTGCAGGTTCTTCTAGTGCTCGCTGTAGCTTTGGTATGTGGTCTCCGCGGCGTGTTTTCACTACGGACGGGTTCAGAACCATGGTCACCGCAACGTACCAGCGATTCCTGGCCAGCCGAGAGACGCGGAACGGAGAAGAGTTGGAATCTGCACGAAGACAGAACAGATGCAACCGCAGGATCGATGACATTGCGAGCAATAGTACGCTTGAATGCAATTTGTGCATTTGGATTTACAGTGCTAATGGTGGTGGAGTTGGTGTTGTGTGGTTGTGTGTAAATTGTGACAACGGTGGTGGTGGTGGTGGTGGTGGTGGTGGCGGCGGCGGCGGTGGTGGTGGTGGTAGTGGTGGGGGTGGTGGTGGTGGTGGTAGTGGTGGGGGTGGTGGTGGTGGTGGTAGTGGTGGGGGTGGTGGTGGTGGTGGTAGTGGTGGGGGTGGTGGTGGTGGTGGTAGTGGTGGTGGTGGTGGTGGTGGTGGTGGTAGTGGTGGTGGTGGTGGTGGTGGTGGTGGTAGTGGTGGTGGTGGTGGTGGTTGTGTGTGGGTTGTGACAACGGTGGTGGTGGTGGTGGTGGTGGTTGTGTGTGGTTGTGTGTGGTTGGTTTATGGTGGCGTGTGGGTTCATGACAATGGCAGTGATGGCATGTGGGTTGCTGGCAACGGTGTGTATAACATAGGGGGGGGGGGGGGGGAGGGGGGGGGGGATGGAACCCATGTCAATGCGAGCAGTATGAATCTGTGGATTTGATAGCAGCCACATAGAAGTAGGGAGGGGGGGGGGGTGAGGGAGGTGTGGATGGGATAGATAACATGAGCAATGGAGCTGCAAGGACGTGAAGCGGGTATAGACATAATCTGATGCCATGGAAGCGTTTTCAGTATATTTGCAGCAGGAAAGCAAAATCAAGTTGAAGCAAAAACTGCCTTGTTGTGCATGCAAAATCAGGTGCTAGTAATGGAAAGTTTTACATGGAGGCATGGACTTAAGTGTATGACTGTGGGAGGGGAAAATGTCGCTGCAACGATTCATGCTTCAGGCGATTATAGTTTACTGGGGCTGAAACCATACTGGATTTTCAACCATCGATTACTCTTTAGTTTAGCCATCGATTACTCGGTTATCATTTTAAGCAAACATTATCAGGTTTTTGGGTAGCAAAACGATTCCGTTACCCTAGGAATGAGTAGAAAGATATCAGACAATTTTTTTGGAGTACAATCGACTCCGCATATAACTAACTCGGATGTGCAGCTGAACATCGATTATCCGACCACCTCTGGGCAGCGGGCCCTGGGTAGGTGTTCGGGCAACGAAGATGTTCCGGAAAAGGAACATCTCACCACGGGCCGATACCTGTGTTCCGTATATCACAGTACCCGCAACAACAGTCGCTTTCATGTTAGTTTTGGTAAGTTTTGTAAGTTTTTGACTGCACAGCCTGTACATAGTGGTACAAGCAGCAAGTGCGCGCCGCAGCAACTAACTTCTCGTGCAAGCTCCCGTACGAAAATGCGTAGCCTGAGCCATATGCAGTTCGAAAACCCATTCCGGATAATCGAATGGTCGGATAATCGAATGGTCGGATAATCGAATGGTCGGATAATTGATGTTCAACTGTAGAGAACTTCGTGACATAGTGAACCATTGTCCATGTCCCTGGTTGAATACACACAAATTAACCCTTTGAAGTGAATAGCTTTTTGTGTATGACGAACTTCTTGTAGGGTCCCATGTACTAAGTAAACCGAGTATAGTGCAATCATGCTGTAATGGGGGGACCACACGCCAGTCATGACATGACATTGTCTGTGTGCTGTGTGAGTGCAGTTCGCCTACATGTATAAAGAATAATATGGCTCAAACCTAAAAGTGGGGATGCGACTTAGAATCGAGTGCGACTCATAATCGGGGAAGTACGTTATTCGTGCTGTGGATGAAGATTTTTGGGCTAGTTTACCATCATGTGGATTGGAGACAGCACCATAGGATCGGCCCGCCATGCCACTACCGAACAAAGACGATCTACTCGATCGGTCTGGACAGACAGACGCCGCCGTCGACACCGCCGTCAACGTGCCCGGGCACGTGCACACACATAAGGGGTTGCAAGCACACATGCACAAACAAGGACACGTGTAAACACACACACATGCGCACACACACACACACACACACACGCACACGCACCCGCACACACACACACACACACACACACACATACGCACACACACACACACACACACACACACACACACACACACACACACACACACACAAACATACGGGGGTTATAAGCGATGGGCATTGCACACTGCACAGAGGCCTGCAGACGCCTGGCGCTGGCATAATTATCGCCAAGAGCAATGATAGCACAAACCAAGCTAGGCCATCGCAGTTTTATGTATGCATGGCATTATCACCACCACCAACACCACCGCTGCTACTGCCACCACCAACACCACTGCTACTGCCGCCACCACCAACACCACTGCTACTGCCACCACCAACACCGCTGCTACTGCCACCACCACCAACACCACTGCTACTGCCGCCACCACCAACACCACTGCTACTGCCGCCACCACCAACACCACTGCTACTGCCGCCACCACCAACACCGCTGCTACTGCCACCACCACCAACACCGCTGCTACTGCCGCCACCAACACCGCTGCTACTGCCACCACCAACACCGCTGCTACTGCCACCACCACCAACACCACTGCTACTGCTGCCGCCACCAACACCGCTGCTACTGCCGCCACCAACACCGCTGCTACTGCCGCCACCACCAACACCGCTGCTACTGCCGCCACCACCAACACCGCTGCTACTGCCACCACCACCAACACCGCTGCTACTGCCACCACCACCAACACCGCTGCTACTGCCGCCACCACCAACACCACCGCTGCTACTGCCGCCACCACCAACACCACTGCTACTGCCACCACCACCAACACCACCGCTGCTACTGCCGCCACCACCAACACCACTGCTACTGCCGCCACCACCAACACCACTGCTACTGCCGCCACCACCAACACCGCTGCTACTGCCGCCACCACCAACACCACTGCTACTGCCACCACCACCAACACCGCTGCTACTGCCCCCACCACCAACACCGCCAAGGTTGATTGAACTTATAAAAACTCAAAAGCAAAGCAAACCAGAACACACCGTTAGTGTGGAATAAGGGAAAACAAAAGGAAAGCTGAGAAATGTTTTTTTCCCCTATAACACCCCCCCCCCACCCCGCCCTCCTCCCCGGTCCCACTGCCCGCTGCCCTCTCATGCCACAAGTCTAATTGTGTTCAGAGTTCAAACACAGGATGATGTCGTTACCTGCAGAGCCGCTCTGTCCCTTGATCTTGCCCTGCGTGGCCAGCAGCAACCGGCTGAACACCACCAGACACGGGTTGGTCAAGTGGTTCTCCATGCGCACAAAGTTAGTGTAGAGAACATTTCCTGTGTGACACAGTGGCGGCACAACGCAGCGCACCAAGAAGCAGAACACAGAGCAAAGGCAACGGACGGCGTGAGATACGCTGCGTCGGCATGGAAACGACACAGTCCCAGCTACGTTATGTTGCAATAGAAGCATTCACGAGCGGGATTCGAACCCAGCACCCCTGTCTTTCCGGGACAGTACCCTACCGAATAGGCTACCGGGCATCACACACACACACCCATAGGTTCTTCTTGTACTTAGGGGTTGTCGCAAAAGTTTTTTGTCGTCCCTGAAACGAACATGATTCATGGGGGGGGGGGGGGGGGGGGGGGGAGGGTGCGAGCCAAAATCGCAAGTCGACCAACACTGTACAGATGACATGTACATGTATGCGATTTTCGTCGTCCAGCATAGCAAGCTATGTTCGTTTCAGAGGGAGGGGAGGGGGTCCGAGCACGAAATGAACGATGTTCGTTTCAGGGACGACAGAAAACTTTCGTGACGTCCCTTTAGACGTGGGTGTGCAAGAACGTAATGTGTCTGCAAACTCGGGTCGGGCTGGCTCATACAAAATGTCATGCTGCCTTCTCATTGTGAGTACAGCAAATACTGAATTATTGTCATCCCGAGTACGGTAATTACTGAACTTTCCTCATTCGGAGTACGGTTGCCACGGAAATAGTCGTGTACGTGACAGGTTCCTGCTATTAAAGTGGTTTCACATCACGGTCATGTGACTAAATTTGTGCAGAAAGTGA